GGATTTATTTGGTCAACTGCTGTAGCGGCACCTGATTTGGAGAGGTATTTGTAATACTTTTTTTAAAATCAAGTTCAGCTTTTAATACCCACACATCTTTCCCCCACTGATGTTCGCTTGTTTTGTAATCTCATAGAATGGGAGTGCTAGGCTACAGTCAGAACAAGAAATGTCATGGGCAGACATCACAGACAAAAAAGGGCTCCTAATCCTTTCTGGGTGGTAATCTGTCTGAGCCAGATTTTGTAGATGGTACTGTTACAGGAAAACCCAGGCTGAGATCAGAGACACAAAACTTCTGTAAGGAACTTTAAATCTCAAAGATTCAGAAACCTATTGGAACAATCTTTTCTTCCCTCAGGCTTCAAGAGACTTATGAGTGTTTAAAGCCAAGAAAAATTCACATTTAGCACTGAGCAAAGCAAAACCGTTATTTCAACCAAGCTACGTTTTGGCGTTGGTTGAACCCCAGGCTCACAGCAGCAATGCTGAGTGTCATGCCACAGCGATTGAAACAATCCCAAAATTAATGGAGCTCTCTGTGAGCTGACACATTTACATTTTTTTCAGCTCCACCCAAGACTTTCATCTACAGCAGCATTTCTTTTCTTAAAACTACCCTCCTCAGTCAATTTTGATTTCAGCATCTATCTTATCTCAGCTACTCACCCTTGCCTTCCTTTACAGTCAGTAGAGACTAACAGGCACTTCCAAGGTGCAGTTCAGCCTGGTTTAGATGCTTGCATTAGGCTGAGGTCAGTCATGCCCAAGACTTGCTCTTAATACATAAGGAGGCCAGCTCAGAGGCAGAAGCCCATACTGTAAAAATTTGTATCCGATGAATCCTGTTCCGTTTGATTATCAAGAAAGTCTTCATAGTTGGAAGAATTTCAAGATGATATAGCATGTTTTGATGCATAATCAATCACTTCTGAAAATCTCTCCTTCCTTACAAGTCTAAAGGAAATATTGATGGGATTTTATCTTAACACTGTGCAAAGCAGTTGGTTTACTTGTTTATAATTATTCAGACCTGAATTATTAGCAAAGCAAATTTCTGCCTATTAAATCCAAATATAATTGATGCACCAGAAAGCCGCTCTACACTCCATTCTTCTAATGACCTTTACTTCCTAAAATCATCATGAAAATTATAGTGGCCTTCGAAAGCAAGAATTCATGCAAAGCAAACCCCAGTGCTTTTTAAGACAGAGGCCAAGGGCAACCTCATTAAAAACAAAGTTAAGGTTCAACCGGCTATCACAGGCTGGGATTTAGTCTCAGCTGTCAGATGAGAAGAAAGGGCAGAGCTTGCTTATTTAGTCTGCCCATTGGTTTAAGCAATAACGTGACAAATTATGCAAAGGAGGCTGGTTTATTGTTACATAGATGCAGGATGAAGGAGTTTATCTGAGATGTTTTGGTCTTGAAAGGGAAGGATAGGAAGGACAGAAAGATGACATGTCCTGCCTACATAACCACCTCTTTGGCTGGTTAGTGGAGCAGCAGAAGCACCTGGCACAGAGGCAGTGGTGAGCTTCACCTTCTCAGCTGGAGAAGCAGCCCACAGTCAGTGCCATCATGGAGCACAATAGCTTATTAAAGGAATAAAGACAAAACTGTACTTGATTTCCAGAATGGAGAGGCAGGACATTCTCCTGACCCTGTCAAGGCTTTACTGATCATAATGGGTCTGCCACAGAGAAAAGCTCTGCTTGAACAGCAGAGAGGTGCTGCTCCTGAGGGATGAGTTCAAAAACACCAGCTCAGAAACATTAATAGAAACATTTCCAGCTGTTTCTTCATTAGAGCTTAAAAGAAACAGCATACTCCAAAGCATACTGGAAAAATCTGTACACTTAAACCATCAAATACACATATGCTCATTTCTATAAGGTATTTACTGAGAGTTTCCTGGAGAATGGATGCATTTGTTAAGATTTAACCAGTTTCTGCAATAAGTAGACCCCATGAAGAGGACTTACTGCTTATTTCTTATTTCTAATCACCTGAAAGATTGTACAAATGAAAAAAATGAGGTTAATCACCAAGCAAAATCATCAAAGAAGTAATACCTCTTTTGATAGATATTAATTATATTTAGTATTTCCCCATCACAGAATTTACAAAGTTCTCGTAAATCAAGGATTAATTCAAAGGTTTTTATTTATCCTCTGCTGTGAATGGATCCCTTCTCAGTGGAGAGTGAATGAATTTATTTTGTATGAGCTTTCTGCTTGAAAATGAAAATCCTTCGTGAAAGAGCTGGCAACCTTTGCCAGAGAAATCCAGAGTGAAACATGCCATTGTTCAGGCTGTTAGATCCTAATGAGTTCTGCATCTAAGCGCTTGTGGGTTTTTTTCCATCTGATCCAGCAGAAGCATAGCAGTTTATGCGCTTAAATGTATGAGACTTGTTTGGGAGGAAGATTGTATTAAAAGAAGAGGCAGCATGTTCCATAGTATTAGCATAACATCTGTTATTATCATTCAGTGCTGCTTTTAGCCCACCATGCCCTTCCTCTAAATACCTTATTAATTAAACTGGCTTAGGAGGAAAATAATTAATACTCTTATGTCCTGTACCTACTTAGAAAGGATTTAGAAACTGAAAAAGTGTGTTCGTCTGAGCTACAAACTGGAGGGTTGTGGATTTTTTCATTCTTTATCAGAAGCAGATCACAACTAAAAGGGAGTATCTGAAAAGCCTGTGCATAGACAGTCTCCAAAAATACATATTCTGTGTTCGAAATTCTGCTAGACTGCAAAACTAGTCCATGACTTTGAGAAGTCTTGCTCAATACTTGAGTGTCTTCCCCAGCAACTGTTTTGAGAAACGCACTCCTGAACTTCTTCAAAATGTCCTGTTAGCCCTGTTCAGCACTTGATCCTCCACAAGCCTTAACTCCCAACTCACAAAATTACCACTGCTTTAGTAATGTGGTGGGACTGCCTGGCCATGAAGCCAGTAGTAATGCTGCTGCCTTGCATAGGCAGCTGTTGACAAAGCAGAAGAGTGAGATGGTGAACCCAGGTGAGCACCACTGTATTTGTGTGTAAAATGTGGATCTGTAATTTAGCTATTCATGGTAAAGTACAGCAATAGCAGTATTTTCATTTTGTGAACAGAGCTGCTGTCTTTATACAGAAACTGCTGCTTTGCAGCTGTTTCACCCAATTTGATTTCCCACTGAAGGACAAGCTCAGACACACTGGGTGTTGTTTGCTGCTTACACTAACAGAAAATTAGACTTTTTCAGACCTATTGGAAAAAGTACTGGTTTCTACCATATTGCTCTTTGCAGTCAGCCAGGGGTTTAACAGTCTCTTCGGTGGGAGAAAGCTTGGGAGTTAGCTCTAGTTTGGTTGGGCTTTTTTTGGAAGGTCTGAGGGCAGCTATTCTTAAGGAGAAAGAGGAAAAAGCTTGAAATACTGTACCAGAACAAGGCACTTTCAGCACAGGGAAAAGGCAGATTGGAGAGAAGTCTGCAGCGTGACTCCAGAGTGTGATTGTTGGGCATTTCTTTTCAAAAGCATATTAGAAACTTAGAAATCAAAGTTTCACTGGAAGTCAGTGAGGTGCCTAAAGAGCTTCTTCTGATGAGGCTAAGGAACTCTGGAAAATGCTGTGGCTGTTATGTTAACAGCCTCCAAAATAAAACTCTGCCATGTGGCTAGCTAATGGGTATGGGGTCTTGTGCCCCAGCAAAGTGACTTGACATTAGTTCTGATCAATGCTGAAGTTCAGAGGGTGTGTCAGGGAATACCAGGTGTTTTATTAGCTGCTTGCTGTACATACTGGCCATCTCTGTCCTGAAGAATATGTGTTCAAAACTGATCTTAAAAATGGGAAACCTGAATTTATCCTATGGAAAAGAGTGAAGCAGAGCTTGCCCTGTTCATACTAAGCCATAAATATCTGACAACAAGTAAGTTGCAATGGGTGCAGCATGTCACTATAAGCATACCTAATTTGCCAAGTATATGTGCCCCTGTGGGAACAGCCAACATGCAGTAGTGCCAGGAAAGGTTACACCTTAGGTTTTTGGGGATGGAGAGAGTGTTTCAAAGCCTCTTTTGCTCTAAATTTGCCTTGGGCAGACTGGAGATACTAAGTCCCAGTTCATTTGTGTGTGTGTGCATCTGTGCTGGGTCTGATAGGGGAGCATATGGCAGAAGCGATTCGCCCTTGACTGTGCCTCTTTTTTGGCAGGCACAGGCTTGTTTCTCACAAACACATGCAGTTGCAGGCACTCCTGCACATCACTTCTTGTGCCCCTTGGTTGCTGGCTTTCAGCTCTTTGCCTTAATGCATGTCCTTTGTGGCGTTTTGGTTAATTGGACATTGTTTTAATTACTGCTGAACTAAACAAACATGAAATTTCTATCTGTCGTTTTGTCGCCCCAGTGACCGCGGTCTCCAAGCAGCCAATACAGGACTTGGGATGTTCAGACCTGGTGCAAAATGGAGTTTCCCTCATTTACACATTTTTAGGGGAAAACACTTCTCCAGGGAGAAGGCTCCATTAAACAACTCTCTTTTTTTTGCACTCTTCTAAACAGCTTGGTCTTCTTTGACTGGAATTAGTGTCAAACAAGCCTTGGCTTCAGGGCAGCAGAGGTGCCAGTCCTCTTCCATGGCCTGGGGACAGTCCATGGCCATGTCTTTCACTTGTGTGATCCTTTGTGTTGCATCCTTTCTTACCTTTCCCTCTCCAGCTTCTGCTGTGATTGCCTTTTTCTCCTTTCACTTTCTCTAATTCTTCACGAAAATGCTTGGGTCATGTGTCAAAATTAAGCAATGGGAGCGCAGACATGCCCTCAGATCAGTCAGTCTGTAGCCATTTCTGTCAATAACAGCCATGCTACAGCTGCAGGCAGATTCTCTGGACTGCCAGTAGCCTTTATTTTGAGATGCTAATTTGCCACTGACTTGAAAAGGAGAAAAAGCATTTTTCAAATACCTTAAAAGGCATAGAGCCTTTTAAAATGACCATTCCCCTTCTTTTCTATTTATATTACCCTTCTCCTTTGCTTACAGCTTTAGAAAGAAAGATGTCAATGAGGCAAAGCAGAGAGGAGCTTATAAAACGAGGAGTGCTGAAAGAAATTTTTGATAAAGGTAAGTGTTGTTTTTTTCACAACATTAAATCACATCCCATATAGTTTTATGGTCAGATATTAATTATTGTAGCACTAGGAACTGGGGATACAGTCTGCAGGACTGTGCAGAATAAGGTCTTTAAACATCTCTTTTGATTTCACTGTGGTCTGGCCCTCTCCGCTGGATACGTGTGATAGTTACCTAGCAAATAAACCTGAAAACGAATCAGAAATATAAAGCAATGGGCAACAGTCACTCACTGCAAAACAGTGACGCAACCAGACTGCAGGGAGATGGAGTGGGTCCGTGCCTGCATGTGTTATCATTGTCTGCTTGAATCACCCTGGGATTAACTACTGTGGAAAAGAGAAGCATCTAAAGGTTTTGGATCCTGATGAGCACAGAATAATGCACATTCCCTTGACAGCTCAGAAGATATAATAATAATAATAATTCCTTGTTCAGGATAATTAATTTGCTGGGTTGGTAATGTATTATTTATGCAAAACTCCATTGTTTTCCAAATACCATTGTTATACCCTGGTAATGCAACACATATTTGACATCTATTACATATGTGTTTGTCTTTAACCATAGCTTTTATTTGTTTTGCTTCTTCCATTGTCAATAAGTAAGGCAGTTAATTCAGCAAATTATATAAAGACATGCCAAAGTTGCCTCTTAATTTCAGTAGAACTTAAACTCTCATTAAAAAAATTTTTGCTTAAAACCTCATTAATCCAAAGTCTAAAAGTCTTCAACAATACCAGTACAAAACCCATTGGAAGTCAATAGAAGTTTTAAATTTCCACAGATTTTAGGAGTAGGGTATACTTCATAAAGTCTGGAACATTTAAATCTGCTACCTACTTTTTTAGTCTAGCTTATTGAGAATTTAAAGATTTACTAACCCAAACCATTTATCTTTTTTGAGTGAAAAAAACCACCAACCATTGCAAAACCAAAGACATATGCTACTTGTCATTATATTTTACAGTTTTTGCCCATTATGTATTTTAGATGCTTCTAATCCTTTAGATCTAACATAGCCTGTGCTCTCACTGTGGCCCACTGTCTTGGAAGTCATCCTAGAGGCAACTTCAGGGTAAAAACAAGTCCTAGCTAATGGTTCGCCCTTTTCACTGCTTTGGGTTGTCAACTTTCTGGAGTGTGATGCAGACTGGATACACAACAGTAAGGCAGGCATCCCCACAGCCATCAAGCCACAGCCCAGGCTGTCACACTAGGTGTGTTCCAGCCCCTGCAAGACCAGTGCAAAGCTCCTTTAGCAGTGCCATGACCAGGTCAGAAGTCAGCCTTCGTTCGTCAAACCTCTGTGCAGGGTGTGACCTCCTTCATCCCTGGCTCGCATCCCACGCATAGCTGCTTTTATACACCTAAAGGCATCCCCCGGAAAAATCTTCCCTGTGCAGCCTGATCCTGCCTTCCACATTGAAACTCAGGGAGATTTCCTCTGCTTCACTGCTGAAGCACTATAGCTTTCTCCGTCAAATAATGCTGTAGTTTGTAATCTATGTCATCTTGTGAGCAGATTCTAAGCTGTCTGGGGGTCCTTGTCTGAAAAAAGAAATTAATTCGTCTTTATAGTAATTTTTAATCTTTTCATATCAGAAAAAGCTGGAGTGAAACACATACTGTTTCTTCCTATTTCCAGAGCAAAAGCAGAGACATCAGATTTTTCAATGTCAGGTGCCACTAAAAGGGAAATTACAATGCAAAACAGCTGGACTTCTTATTCAGTATCCTACATTATTTCCTGCTGGTTGCAAACACAGGAAGCTAAGAATTGGTACCCCTCCATGAAAGAAAGAAGTAGGGCAGAGAAAAAGGTGGTAATACACAAGAATAGTAGCAGTGATTGAGTAGCTTTGATGATACAAAGATACGAGTAAGATGTGTAGAGCAAAAGCAATATTTACTTCAATGGTGTAATAATCTGACAGTAATTCTAATAAAGGATATTATATCTTACTGTGAACCTTAAATGAAAGTACATTTTTGTTGTAATTCTTGTTAGGTAATCTCTAATCCTTCAAGAAAACATAGCAGACTTTAGTACTTCATAGTAGAAGGCTTTATTTGATGATAGTAGCACCTTGCATGCCAAGAGGCAACTTGCATAGACATTAGGTGTAGCCATAATATTAAATCTCTTTATCTCCCTTTCCTAAGAGGTGGAAGACGCAGGCAGAATTAACCTGTTAGCGATTTTGTGGTTTTCTTTCTTCAAAAAATCCATACAGATAAGAGGAAACTTACTATGGATAGACTGACCCAAGGACAAAAATTTTGGAGCTTGCAGTGTGCTTTGTATTGATTGTACCGTATCTTCTATGTTGAAGAAAAACAGAATTAGCTAGTTTGTTTCCCTGCTATTTAGAATGACAGTCTGACCTGTTGCTTCAGGATTTGCTGCCTTTTCAGAGGACTTTGTGTCATCCAGCAGGTGAAAGTTAGCGGAGCACAGCAAGTCACAGTGTTCACACAGGGGAGAGTCACTGCAGTCCAGCTGCTATATTTGGAAAACAAGAAATGCTTTTATCACATCAGTGAACCCCACGTTTAAACTCAAGTCAAGTGAAGCCACTCCAGACTGAACTGCAGAGCTGTTTTATTGGCAAGGCCAAGACTCATGACCAAATCAGTTTCTGTCATCTTCCATTTCCAGGGTTCTGTGACTTCAATCTCCTGAAAATGTAGGCAAAGGTTATAATTTTTTCAACGACTGTGTACTTTGAGAAAAACACTAAGTTGAAGTATCTGATGAGGCACCTGCTGTTCTAATAGTTTGCAGGCAGACAATGCTGGGAGGTTAAAAACACAGCTTCCACCTGCAATGCAGAACATAGCACAGCATTTAGAATAATTCACATTTTTGCTGTACCATTGCTCCTACACATAAACAAACAGCTTTGATTTTCACATGAAGGTTTAACTGTCCCAAAAGCATCTGTCTTTAGAACTGCCAACTGTCACGTGGTGCCAGTCAAAAATTAAATTTACTTGTAGTGTTTGATACCTCCTCTTATATCTGAATGTAGATGAGATGGCCTGTAGTGAGTCTCCACCAAGGCTAGGAGACAACCCCGTGGACAGGTGTTGACCACAGGCACGAATACTCTATTTTCCACCCCCTAGCCCATAGGGGCCACAGCAGAGAACAACATGATTTTTCCTCTGCCCTTCCTAGCCTTTCCCATAAAGAAGTGGCTTCACTTGCCTGGATAGTCTTACTTGAGAGCAGTCAAGTTCTGGGGGAGACAACCCAAAGTGGAAAATAACCCAGGATTTCAAACTCTCCTCATTTTGACTTCCGTAGCCATTTGTCTGTGGAAGGAGCGCATGAGCATGACACTTTCCAGATATGCAAGAAGTTCCCTACTCCAAGATACTGAGAGTCAAAAGACACATTGCGAGGGTAGGCAGAGCTCCAACATAAAGAACAATAAAAGGACTGGTCTGTGTCAGTCAGCATGATGCACTGCAGGCTGCTTCACAGCAGGCAGTTTTTAAAAAGTACCCGAAAGTGGAAATGGCAAGTGAATTCAGGAGTACAAACCATGCTTGGGCCCACATGTTTTGAACATATCATCTGGTGCATTTCTGGGCCTTCACCCCATGCTGTTATTTTCACATGTGAAGATGAATCAAAGAGTCCGCTTTATCAGAATTTCCTCTGAGGTCCTGTTTCGTCAGTGACTTCAGGTGTGCAGAGCCTCCTGCGTAACAGAAGAGCAGCCTTCGTGTGCTCCAGGTGCTGCAGAGGTCAAGCTGGTCCTGTCCAGATTAACACTCAGCCAGCATTACCAAAACTCATGCATTTAGGGGAAGTCATTCTCCATTAAGTAACAGCAGTCTCTGTGGAAACACAGCAAAGGATTTAGCGAGTGTGAGAAGAAAAGACTACATAGGTTATCACTGTGCAAAATTAACTTTAAACTCACATCTGGTTCCCGAAGACTAATTGATTCGTCCGTGTATATGTCATAATTGCAGTAACAGGGTTCTTTTAATTTGTAAGTCAGCTAACCAGAATAGCTTTTAGTACTTTGAAAATGAGAAGTAATTTGCCTTTTATATCTGATTGTCAAGCATGTCTCTGATCCAGGATTTGTTCACACTATGATATTCTTCATTCTACACATTACTTTATTTGCATCTTTGATCTGCTTTCTGTACTTGAGTAGCTTCCCATGTAGCTCTTTTTAAGCAAGATCTGATTTAGGGTGTATATTTCAGTCATGATTCTGTCTGATGATCATGTCTGGTGATTTCATTCAAATCCAAGGACAAGTTTTAGGGTCTAAATGAACATTAGAGATATTCAGAGGTAAGGTTAAAAGAGGTCATGCTGTCAGTACAGAGAACTGTCATGCTTGTTATCATGACAAAAAATAAAAGCCAAAATTTTATCTCACATTTTGCTTTTTCACAACTGTAAACCATCAACGAGTCATTTGAATGCTGTCTTCCTAAATCATACCTTGAGAAGTGCAAAGTGCACTTAAGACAGTAAGATTTCAAGATGCTCAGCGTGTTACAATAGGCATCCCACTTCATTAAGAATGTGTAGACATCCCTCCAAAAACTAAATGTTAGTGGTTTTATCATGCGTACTTTTTGCCTGCTCACAGTTACAGTCACATTTAGTCCTGCACTGAATTAATGAGTATTGCTAGACACAGCCACTGCCTTCCATTCAGGAAACAGTTGCTCTGCATAAGAAACAGTTATGCTCTTTCGTGAAACCAAGTTACTGAGACAAAAGCAGCCCCTATCCCAAACGTGTGAAGATGCGTGTTCGTGAAAGGGAGACACAGCAAGCACAGAATGCATAGCATTTCCACCCAGACAGCTAAGTCAAAATCTTCAGCTTAAATCCTGGCTGAACTGCTGTTTGATTTTTGCTGCCTAGGGAAATAAGCGGGCTTGTATTGAATGACCACAGCAGTTAGAAGGAGGCTGTGCTGTGAACAATTGGCCAAAACCTTCAGTTCTGATTAATGTTGCCACCTTTTAGCCAGCTCGGTTGATTGCTTTGAAAGCCATGGGTCGAGCTTCAGTCTAGTGTGATGTGACTGTGTACCATAATAGCTCTCTAGGTCTTCAAAAAGCCTCCAACAAAAACAAAGTCAAGACCGTGGTATTTCTAATCATTCCAAAATAAGCAGAGAACACCTTCACTCGCTGTAGAGAAGCTTTAAAAGGCAGAAACATAATTCTGAATACTTATCCACTAACGTGCTTTCAGACTTGTGTCATAATACGTAAATGAGACTTAAGCTTTTTCTCTCTTTTCAGTATTGTTTTCCAAAGTCTTTTTCACATCTTAGCCCTGTGAGGTGATAGTGTGCACTTGCTTGAATGATACTGATCTCTGCTTAGTGCATGGAGCAGTCATATGGCTAATCAGAGGCACACAGAAATCAAGAACCAGATCCTGCAATCCTGAGTTTGGCTTAAAAAAATAACTTAAATGCATAGTAAAATTTGGCTCCTTTTTTGTCTACTGGTTATTAGCGTTACAGGTCACATTCCAGTTATATTTTCAGGCTTCTGCTCATAACCATAGGGGCTGAGCTCTTCCATTTATAAAACTGTAATTGAGATATCCATGTAGTCATTGCCTCCAGGTATCAGAGTGCAGTGCATGACAAGCTCTGAGATAAAAATCACACAGGTTGACACCATAGAGAATGGTCTGATCCCTCAACTTCTGTTCTTTATTATTTCTAAAGTGAAGTGGTGTTTGATAGGAAAGAAACGACCAGCTGCTGTTACAGAAATTTCGCTCAGATAGATGAGATACTATTAATAACTTTAAAAACAGGCCTTCTAAATGGAATCTGCTATATCCCAGTATCAAGACTTTATACAAGGTGACTATAAAAATTATTCGCTCCCTCATTTAAAATCTTGATGCTGGGAGATGTAATGTTTATATTTGTGTGTAAAATAGGGACATAGTTCCGTGATTTTCCTTGTGTCCCTTGTAGCATAAAAATTGGTGTAAGGGAAGAGAATAATTCTTGTTCTTACTATTAGATTGTTATGAATTATATACTGTGTATATTAGTATTCTCTAAGAAAACTCCATAGCTTCAGTTTCAACCCATTCTCATTCCTGACTTCCCAGCTTCAACAGAGACAGGGGTAAAACAGATTTTGTGGCCCTGGATGGGTCTGCATGGCCACATGGATGGAGGGTGGTCAGGAACCATCCAGTTTAGACCATGGATCGTAATGACCATCCTAGGGTAAGCAAAGGATCAACACAGATATTTGACAGATCTTTGACAGATCTTAATAACTCCTTAAAGCACGTAGAATTCTGTCAGACTTCTGTGAAACTTGTGGACAGAACAGTCAGACATCTCCAGGAACTGCTCTGCACAGCTTGTATTTTTGAGCTACGAATCGTATTGTTTTGATCCTTATCCCTATGTCTTCTGTATTGTGGTGGGCTGGAGACCAGGTACCCACCAAAGCTGCTCTATCACTCCCTCCTCAAGTGGAGAGGAGAGAGAAAATACAACAAAAGGCTGATGGGTCAAGATAAGGACAGGGAGAGATCACTCACTGATTACCATCATGGGCAAAACAGACTCAAACTGAGGGAAGAAATCAATTTAATTTATTACTGATCAAATCAGAGTAGGATAATGAGTAATAAAAACTAAATCTTAAAAACTCCTTCCTCCCACCCTTCCCTTCTTCCCAGGCTTAACTTTACTCCCAAATTCTCTACCTTCTCCCTCCCAGCAGTGCAGGGACAGGGAATGTTGTCTCTGCCACTCCATCCTCAGGGAACACTCTCCACACTCTCCCTCTGCTCCAGCATGGAGTCCTCCGCGGGCTGTAGATGGATGTCTCCTCCATTGTGGACTTCCGCGGCTGCAGGGGGACAGTCTTCACCATGGGCTGAAGTGGAATCTCTGCTCCAGGACCTGTACCACCTTGTCCCCTTCCTTCTTTACTGACCTTGCTGTCTGCAGAGCTGTTTCTTTCATGTGTTCTCACTCCTGTCTCCAGTGGCAATTGCTCCTGCACAGTAACTTTTCCCCTTCTTAACTATGTTATCCCTGAGATGCTACCACCATTACTGATGGGCTCAGGCTTGGCCAGCATCAGGTCTGTCTTGGAGCCAGCTGGCATTAGCTCTGTTGGACATAGTGGAAGCTTCTGGCAGCTTCTCACAGAAGCCACCCTTGTATCCCTCTCACTACCAAAACCTTGAAATGCAAACCCAATACATGAGTACATATAAGATCTCAGTTCAGGTTCCTCAATAGCAAGCAAGCTAACAGAGATAGCAGATTTAAGTTTTAATTATTTCTGCTTATCTTGTTTATGCGTCTTACATTGTCATTCTGTTTTCCTCCAACTATGAACAGATGGGGAACTTTCCATACCAGATGAAGAAGGAGCTTTGGAGAATGGGCAGCCTTTGGGCTCTGGGCAAGTTCTGAGCTCCAGCCAGGTATCCCTGCCAGCCCTAGCAGAACTGGAATCAGGTCCAGCACCTGGGGAACCCTGTTCATATGAGGTGCTCCCAACCACAGAGATCATGGATGGGACAGGTAACATCTGGTTTACATTATGATGTAGATGCTCTAAGCTGTTTGTAACAAGCTTCTGACTTATAACATTTGGTGTCCAGCCCTGAGAAATCCATGTTGAAGAGAAAGGTCTTCTGGAGGAGAAGGATTTGACAACATACAGATTGTCACTGGATGCTTCATGAGAAATTTTGACTGACTCAGTGTAGAAGTAACCTCTACTTCTACACAAGTAACTTTTTTGTGAGTAAGGCACAGTCCCTGCACTTTCAGTCCCTGAACATTTAAGAATAGAATTCTCACTCTCCAGCTACGCCTTAGCTGTGCCAGTGAGCTCTAGAGCAGAGAGCTGACAGCATTTTTAAACCCTAGGGTACAACATCATGCACTTTAGCTGCAGCACGGTATTAGTGATGTTGAACATACCGTGACAGTATGCATCTTTCAGTAGCTAACACAGCCCTACCCTGGGCTGCAGAGACACAGCAATGCTGTACATCTAGGTTAGTTCCTCTTTCTGCATCATTTAATGCTGAGAGTTGTGGACGAAGGTGGAGAGAAGAAAAGTGACTGGTAGAAGTGTTCATCCATGACCTTACGCAGATGCGACCTCTTTGAAATGAAGTAGGCCCCATGAGGTGCTTTTACATTTATAGCATAAGTTTAGGGGCCTCCTGTTAACATATATGATCCTGAGCAAGCTGTGGTGACAGACCATCTGAGATGTGACAGATTTTAAGGCTCTCAATTTGTGTTCAAGATGTGGGAATACGTCTCAGAGGTAATGGGAAATTTGGCTGTTGTGTAGATGTGTGTTACTCTTTATCTTTTTCTCTTTCTCCTCCTTTCTGTGTTATATGATGTTTGAGTGAAACCTATTAGTCTTTCTTAACCTGCCTTGCTGCACTGCTCTTCTTGTCTGACCATGGCTGTATCTGCTGCTGCTTTGCTCGTAACGTTGTTGCGTCTATGATGTGGTTGTGTCCTCCAGTGTCTGAAGAGAGCCCTACATCCAATGAACCCAGCGTCCTTCTGTCCCAAGATCCTACAGCTAAGCCAGTCCTGCTACTTCCCCCAAAAAAATCTGCTGCTTTCCCTGGAGACCATGAGGACACCCCAGTGAAACAGTTGTCCCTCCTCAAACAGCCCCCTGCCCTGCCTCCTAAACCTATTGCCAGGATTGCCAGCCACTTAACTGGTAAGTAGGTGTTCCTGGACCCTCAGCACCCCCGTTTCCCTCATAGGAAAAAACAGTCCTTACAACAAGGTTCTCTATGTCCTTCCTTCTCCTGTAATGCTGTTTGCACGTGTTGTTGTGTGTACCGGTAATGTATCTGTGTTGTACGTAGGGCAGGGATCACGAAGCATCTTCAGACTATAATTTCAGCAGGGTTGCTTCAGGGCACTTCCCCTTTCAGCTGTAATTTACCTAAGACCACTGCTGCACTTCCTAAACCTCCTCACTCCTATTCATCAAGACTTGCCACCAACACAAAAATTGCAGGATGTGCTTTGAGGGGAAAGGAAGTATCAGGAAAATACGAGGATATCTTTAAATGCCTTTAATGAGAAAAGAGGTGAGAGTTGCTCTTTGCTTCTCCCCTCAACTGCCATCTGGGCAGGTCCTCTTGCACACACCCTGTATCTTTCCATATACTTATCTTTTACTTGGCTCCTGATCCTTAAACAGGGCATTCAGTCCCATTTTGCTTCCCTACTCACACTGCCTACCTAACTGCTCCCCGTTTCCACCCCTGGTCTGACTAATTCCCTCCCACCAGTGATGATAATGGGCAGTTTCAGTTCCCAAAGACAAGGATTCTGGAGTCTTGCAGTGTATGCTGCAGTCTTCCTCTCACTGCATGGCAGCTAGCAACAGCAGACAATACAGGCTCATTTCTTATGTTCCAGATGTTTTCACAAGTGTCCAGGCTCTTTGGGATTCAAAGCTCTAAGTAAATGTGGAAGGAGAATTGGTGGGTCTCCTCTCTCTAGTCTCATTTAGACCACTGAAGTGAAGGATGGCTACATCTGCACAACCAAAAAAAAGCCCCCTAAATGCTCGCATTTTGAACAGTTTGCTCATAATTGTAGCTGCCACCCAGGAGGCAGCACCTCAAAATCCTGAGTTCAAGATGAGACGTGGTGCACGTCTCTACTGGGGCAGCTGCTGGTCTTCTCACTGGGACAATCTTCTTGTATTAATGGTGCCCTGATCTTTTGAGGGCTGATGTGAGAAATGCTCACCCCAGTTTAATGCATTCTAGTTTTTTGGGGGTTTTTTTCAGTTAATACCCATTTTATTCGGGTTAAGATATATATCGGGAGAGACCTCATTAGGAAAGAGCATGTTCTGGTTTTTGCTCATATCTCTACATAGTCTCTTCATGTTTCTGTTTGGATGACCACACGTTCTTGTTCTGTATAGTTTTGTTCATTTTATGTGAAAACTCTTTACTTTCTTGCCTGCCAAAATCTACACATAATGGTTAATATTTGTCTTATACTACAAGCTGAATGGGCAGTTCTGCAGTCTGCAAAGACAGGCAGCAGTATCAATGGCTTCAGGTGAGGACAAAACTAGTTTCATTTGATCTTCCATAACACTCTATCCAATTACAAGAAGCTGCTCAGAAATGAGGCCAGCATGGAAGAAATAATGAAATAGGAATAGCATAGGAAAAAACTCAGGTACCAAATGTCCTTCATTCATAAGGCTTTCTTTTGTAAGAGAGAGCAGAAGAATCAAAGGATGAGGGCTTCTGGTGTGGGGTTTTTTTCAGCAGG